GTAGTCGTAAACCCAAAAAAAATTGACAATTGTCGAAAACTCAAAAATTTTGGTGTTGAAAATAATTATTAGCTATTGTGAAGTAATTATGAATAAAAATTAGAGATGCAACGGATATCCGGCAGGCAGTATCTATCCGGCCGATCCGGCTAGTAGGCCGGATATCCGGTTATGGCTGGAAATTATGATTATCCGGCAGTAACATTTGGCTCAAAATAAAATATTGAGTGGAAAGGCAAAAATAAAATATATATATATATAATTCATCACAATGATGGTAGAAAATGTAATTTTAACATAAAAATCAATATTCTTTTTAAATATAATTTTTTTTATACTTATGGTGTTTATAAAATAAAGAAATTATCCTTAAAATATGTATTAGGTTTTAGTTTTTATCTTGGTAACGCCTACAACAACCTCCTCATACTTGAAATAATTCCATACAGCACTTTTGCTTTTAAAACTCATGTTTATAAATGCCTTTCAGCAGTTTATGACAAATTTATTCTCACAATTATGAAAATAAAGTAAAATATAACTGCAGACTATAACTATCAAAGCACAACTAAGGTAAGTATACAGATTCAGTTACAGTTAACAAAGGGGAAAACATCATTGGCCATTACACAATATATCTTATCTTAGGGACCTGGTCTTACAAAGTGGGTGGTAAGAATAACCTATAGAAGTAAAACCTGTTTTTGCAAATGGCAAGAACATAAGAACATTATTCAGAGCATTATTTCAGAACAAGAACATTATTTCAGAAAAAGATGATTAAAATTATATATATATACTTCAATATTAAGAACAAAAGAAAGAAATATTTTTAAAATTATTAATTAATTCATTATTTCAATTTGATTTTTAATATAAATATGTTTGAATCTTTAACAGATATTTTTATTTCTGCCACCTACTTATAATAAATATTCTATCAGTGGTTTTATTTAAGCTAAGCACAATACTCAGTGCAGATAACATTCTTCAACTAAAGTGTTATTGACATAATAGTTATTTATTGATATTCAGAAATTTAAAGTTAAGTACTTTTAATTGAAAGTTTGTTTAAAAGAAATATATTATCATAGAAGCAAAAGAAAAATAATAGTTTTGTCTAGTCCAATTAAATATAAATACTTATTTTAAAAAAAGTACTGCGGCCAGATACCGGATTAAAGATTGGCCGGATATCCGTTATCCGGCCAAATTAAGATCCGTTGCATCACTAATAAAAATACTTATGAAACTACAAGTGATCAATCCATAATCAGGGATCTGTCTAGAATTTTTTAAGAGGTATGTATTTTGTGAAAATTTTGACATATGTAGAATTAAAAAAATTAAATTAAAAAATCAACACAAAAACATGGTAAAATAAGAAAATATTTTTGAAAATTGCTACTACAGATAAAAATCATTTAACTCTTAAATTTCTATATACTTTTTCTCATATATCTCATTTCTATATACTTTTTCTCAAAATTTTGCTATTGCAAAATTTTAGGCTTAAAATTGTATCCAAATTTAAAAATCCATAAAAATCATTGTCCATAGCTAAATTTTCACTTGAATTTAATAAAGACATGCATTTAGCAGTACTAGCACTAAAAGTTATTTTCATTTTGAGAACATAATCAACTAGGTCATACAGAAAAAAGTTTCACTGAGAAAAAAAAATGTTTCTTAAAAAATAAAGGTTTAATTTACAATAGTGTTTAAGGTTATGTTCGAATCAGGGTTGGGGTTTTGGACATCCTAAACTGGTTTTGGACAGGACACGTGGGTTTTAAAGTCTTAAACTGGGTAAAACTGTCCTAAACTGTCTTAAAGTGTCCAAAACCTTGAACTTTGGTAAAAGGTAAAAATTCTATAGGTGTAACCATTGTACACATAATAATTACATGTATCAATAAATATTTGATATTTTTTATACAATTTACTATAACTTATTAAAAGAAAATAATATAATATAATAGGAAAAGGTTTATAATTTTTGAAGCTCCACAATTCATTGAACAACAAAAGTGAAT